TCTAGGGCCAGAATGCAGTCGTCCATTATATCAGTCACAATGACATTATGCAGGTATATCATGTTGTCTAGCTTCAGCCCCATCTCCTTCTCTCCACGGGTGGGTAAACGCTGTAACCAAATTAATGAGTTCTCGATTGTATGCGGAGTCCCCAAGGAACTGACTTATAAGTTGGGAAATAACAACCGTACGAGAGGCTCCAGTGTCTACGGTCAGTTTACACGGCATTCCATTGACCTCGCCCTTGATGATTAGGCTCTTCCCATCATGGATTTGTGAGATCGAGATCCTTGGGGCTCTTTTAACATCAGCCAGCACCCGCCAGTTTCCCTGTTGCTGCTGGGCGGTGCTGTTAGCCGCACTACCCTCTTGAGATCGATCACCTTCCCTTTCTATAGTTCGCTTAGGGCAGCTGGATCGAAGATTGCCCCTTACCTCACAGCCATATCATCTAGGGCTGTATCCTTTATAGCGGTCGTTAACTGTAGCTGCTGCAAACTCCCTGACGCGACGGGAACGAAGCTCCTGCCGTACGGCTTCCACCTCCAGTGCATGGGCCAAGGCGTCCTTAAGTGGTGCCCAAGCCCCACAGCAGCTCTGGCTTCAAGGTCGCGGATGCTGTCGATGAATGTCTGCACCAGGTTCCGTTTAATGAGCGCAGGTACAAACCGGTATGCTTTTCGCACCAGATGCTCCATCTCAAGAGCCCACTTTTTATTTATTTTACAACAACTAAAATACATAATAAACAAAGTTCATAAATACAGTGCAACATAAACCTATATAAGATTTTTCTGCAGACTGCAGTCCGCCGTCTTTCGAGCGCAAACATTTTAATATTACTGAGAGTAAGGAGGTTTTTTTTATAGAAGAGGGGGGCAAACGAGCACGCGGCTCACCTGATGTTAAGTGACTACCGCCGCCCATGATCAACCGCAACACCAGGGGAATTGCAGATGCGTTGCCGGCCCTTTAGAAAGGAGTAAGCTCTTTTTTAGAAGGTCCCCAGGTCGTATCGGTCCGGAAAAATCACCGGTGGTAAACTATACCACAGAGAGGTTGTACGCGGAAGAAAACTCCTTTTGAAACGTACAGTGGTGGAGCGCCAAGCATCCAGATGGTGTGGATGGTATCGGTACGTTTGACGCTTAGTGCGTTCACTAAATTTGGCGGCTGGGATTAATCCGAACAATTCCTCAGAGCACGCTCCATGGTATATACGAAATAAAATGCAACAGATGCAACATCTCTTCGCAGTGCCAGTGAATCGAGCCGATCAGAAAGCACTCGGTCGTCGACGATTCGAGCCGCTCTGCGCTGGATGCGGTCAAGTGCGGAAGGAGCTGGTACTGGGGAGCCCCAGCCCAGAGATGGTAACAGTATTCCATGTGCGGCCGAACCTGCGCCTTGTAAAGCCGCAGGCGGTGTGCCGGCATGAAATACTGTCCCGCTCTCCTGAGCACGCCAAGCTTTTTAGAGGCCAATTTGGCCTTCTCTTCCAAGTGACCACGAAACTGCACGTCATTCGATATGTCAATGCCGAGGATTCCGATACTGGCTGAGGCAACAAGGGAAGTGCCTTGAAACTGAGGAGATACGACAAAGGGGTTCTTTTTAGCGGTTAACGCGCAAACTTGTTTCTTCTGGGGGTTAAACTGGACTAGATTTAGTTGCCCCCAATCCGAGACTCTGTTCAGCAAAGACTCGACTTCAGACACAAGTTTGTCTCGGCACTCGGAGACGTTTTCCCGAGACATATTGGCTCGGCCGGTGTAAAGAGCATCACCAGTGCTATCATCTGCATAGCAATGAATGTTACTGGTTTGCAACATATCATTGATATGCAGAAGAAACAGCGTTGGCGATAGCACGCAGCCTTGTGGAACACCAACATTAATAGGCTTGCAATCGGAGCTTGCACCGTCTACAACGACCTTGATGCTCCGATCTGCAAGAAAGCTGGTGATCCAATCACACAATTTCTCGGGAAGCCCATAGGAAGGGAGCTTCGAAAGAAGCGCTTTGTGCCAAACCCGATCGAAGGCCTTCGCAATGTCCAAACTAACGGCCAATGCCTCCCCCTTGGACTCTACTGCCTCCGCCCATCTATGAGTTAGGTTGACCAGAAGATCACCAGCTGACCGACCACGGCGAAAACCGTATTGGCGGCCACTTATCAGCTGGTGATCCTCAAGGTACCTCATGAGCTGGCAGTTCACAATAGACTCCATTATTTTGGAGAATAAGGAGGTGATGGCGATAGGCCGGTAGTTGGACGGGTCTGAGCGGTCGCCTTTTTTTAGGAATCGGGTGGACGAAAGCCGTCTTCCATGATTTTATTTTATTTTTGGTAGTTCGTTCATTTCTATACGCTCATTTATATTTGTCTGTCTGTATATCGTTCATTGTGCAATGTGGCTAATCAAGCGAACACTACGGTGAACTAGAGACTGAAAAAAAACAACAGTCCTCAACACTGCGTCGGGTCCCGCGCCTACGTTACAGTGACCGAGTAAAGCCGGCCACAGTCGAGCGTGTGCCTGCTGTATTATCATATTATGTAGAAGGAGTCACAAACAAGGTTGGCAACGTCTTGGAGCGAGCTTCCGTTAAAACATACTACAAGCTGCCGAAGAAGATTAGTCAATTTTTACCTTCCATCAAGTGTAATATTCACGAGCTAGATTGTGAATGTGGTCTCTCGTACATAGGGCAAACAAAACGATCTATAAAAACCCGCGTGAAATAGCATATAGCTGACGTTCCGCAAAGTCAGTCTGTGAACATGTTCAAGATCATCCCCACAATTACATCAGATTTGATAAACCACAAATCCTCGCTAAAGAACACCGATTCCTACCAAGTATGATACGCGAGGCTATTGAAGTTAAAAAAAAACATCCTTATTTCAATAGGGAAACTGGATGGGTGCTGGCATCTGCTTGGGATCCTATTAATAATAAAATGAAATCCAAGCCCAAGCATACCATTTCAAGACTTCAAGATACTGTAAGCTCGTTCTGTGTAGATCTGACCAAAAATTAATATTTAAAACTGAAGGTAGACGGGCTAACTATGACATTGGGACGTCAAACATCTCAGTCCCCCCGTTACTATGGGTGTTGCAAAGCACCGGAAAAGTCAGGATTTAAAAATAAGTTAATTAGACGCGATGAAATCCGTATATTTTTTTTGTAAAACATTTTTTAAAAAATCACTTGTTTAGATTATAATTAATTAAACATATATTTGCTTTCAAATTCCAGTATTTGTTCTACAATTGCTTTAAATCTACTACCGAATACTTTTAGCCTTGTGGTAGCGGCATCTTAGAATATAATAACCCATATTATCCCGTGAATGTCATGAAAGGTGACAGAAAGAAAATAAAACAGGTAATAAGCAACAGTTTCTTCCTAATACATTAAAGAATTGCGGTGGGAAAGCTGTCTGCTACGCTTGACAACAAATATGACCAGCAGCGTAATTTTTGAAAAAAAAGAAAAGGACATTTATAATTTTATATAATTATTATGTCTTGGAATCTGTATAATAATAACAAATATTCAGAAAAAATAAATAAAAAAGTGTCCAATCATTAAGTATAATCAGTTACAAATAGTCAAAAAGCTTTTAAATTAAGTGTAATTTGTTACATGTTGGATTAGATTTAAGGTTTTGAATGTTGAAGCGTTTCCCGAAGAAGCTTTCGCAGAATTTTTCCACTCGGATTTCTTGGTATCTGCTTGACGAACTTCACTCCCCCACGCAAATGTTTTGGATTGGATAACTGCAATGAAAATAAATTTATGTTGATTACTAAAAAATTTATATTTATTGGGGTTCAAATAATTGCGAAGTTAAAGCGTAACTAACTTCTAAGTTTGTTTGAGAGTTATCTTAAACAAAGAGTAACACGGCTTAGAAGTTACGCTTTAATTTGTTGTTAATTATCTCCTATGTTTTTATTTTGTTTACGTTACAATAACACTTTTAAAATAAGTTATACCTTTACCACCAATTCGACAAAGTCCGTCCTTAGAAGAACCATGAGGATACTTAGGACTTTTTTAAATTATAATTTTATAATATAATTGTTGTACAATTAATTGTAAAAACATTTAGAAAAATGACGAATATAATATAGGGCACAAAATTACCCAGACTTTTTAATAAATTGTGTAACCACATTTTCACCTAAATGATAAATACTTGAAACTTGGATAGCAAGTTACAAAAATATTTATCATAAATAAATTGTTACAAAAAAAAACAAAGAACGAATACGATGCTACTTTGTGGTATAGAGAGTCATTTAAAGGCCTTAATCATTTAAAGGAAAACGATCCTTAAATTACAAAACAGTTAAATAAGGCTACAAACGTAGAGTACACGTGGGAGCGACATAAAAGAATCACATCACCACATTTTGTTCCGTGGTTATGAGGTAACTACGAGATATGCCACAAGCGTCTAATGGCATCCAGTAAATGGCGTTTTAACCATCAGACGTAAAATTCCTAGACAGATGACAGAAAGCAGCTTCATTAGATTAAGATATCTGGAACTACGACCACCAATCAACTTTCCAAGCCATTGGTGATTAGGCGAGCTCGCCCTGCAATGTCAATCCAGCAGATGAGTTTTATGGACTGATTAATAAGATAAAGAATAAGACTAACTTGAAGTAAGCTTTACATGTTAGAGTCTAGCTGTAGCATTTAATAGTTACGATACGAATAATTCCGCACCACCGGGGCGGAACGACGCTCTCACAGAATACCATCAAGAAATAGCAGCTTAATACTGCTGCGTTTCGTATGGAAAACGGTGACAATACTCTTTTTGTAGGTAATGAAGCATTCCATTTTATCCTCAGCTATTTTTCTAAATCGAGGAATGATGTTAATGTCTATGGGTCACTGCATCCACTTATCATCAGGTTGACTGTTTGTTTGCGTGTCATCCTTATTCCATAAAAAAGTACACTACACACCCTTTCAGCTACGAATTGTTGAAGCTCTTTTTCCGTGAGCGTGACGCCAGTTTGAGGCACTACGAATGCGAGAGGTGGCCAATTCGTAAGGCAGCCCCACAACGCCTACGTCGCGTACTCCTTTGTGTTGCAGAAGCACTGCTTCTAACTCCGCTGGAGGAACCTGACATTAGTATTATAGTTGTTTTTAATTTATCATTTAACTTATTTAATGTGTTCTTCTTCCTAATGTTTAGCAAAAATCAATAAAATAGAAATGTTATCTATAAATATAATAAACCTATAAAAAAGTCGTGTCTGTATTTCTATAACGTTCATGAAAAAACCAGTCCAGGGGACTTAGTAAAAGGCACTGACGCCAAATTAGTGGTTTTAAGAATATTTGTCTGTCTGTTTGTGTATTCAAGATTCACGCAAAAACTACTGGACCGATATCCATCAAATTTTCTATATAGATAGTTAGTAACTCGCGGCAATTTATAGGCTATTTTTTATCCGATTATGGAACTTTAGAAAAGAAGGTTAAGTATTTTCCTACCCTTAGTTGTCAATTTTCTACTATATATGATTCTGTTAGTTACAAGTATGCAGGATGGCTGATGTTTTTCAAATAAATACCAAATTTGTAAATAAAGTTTCTAATTAGATTTAACCTTTGTTTAATAATTTGAAACTGCTTCAACGATCTACATTTTAGTTTTCGAAACACCGCAATCTGTCATCAAATAGAAAAAGTACATTTTGCCTTCACTTACTAATATTATTAAAAGATAATATAAAATATAATTAAATAACTTACATTTATATGTTAAAATAATGAGATTTATAAAATTATTTAAAAATCCGAACGTTTATTTTTTAGCTTTTTCGTTATTTCATTTTAAAAGTGTAATAATTTAAATAGATAATATAGTGACGTCTATGAAAAATATGAACATGGATACGGTTTTTAGTTCAATGACTAATATATATGTAAACTGATTTAAACTATTCTGCCTGCAATTATTGCAAAATTCTCTATATCCTTACAGTTTGATCAAAAATATTTTTATATAGTATATGTCGTGGCCATTTCGTAGACTGATCGTATCTTAAAGTAGTCCGTCATTTCGTGAAATAGTAGTAGTAATTTAACACTATTTGTTGACCATGTCATAATATAGCTTGTCCGAATCAATGAATAGAGATCGTTTAACGATACTAAGCTCAAATATCTAAACAACATTGTTATTTCGTGATATAATGGTCATATCGTCAAATAAATTTTTAGCGCTAGTGGCACTGATAGCATGTTTTTAACACAAACAAATTTTTTAGCAGATTAAACGCAACTTATTGCCTTATTTATATTTACATAATAAATAAATGTTCGTGGCTTTCCAGTCGCACCCCAACCTTCTATCGCTGATATTACTAGATAGCATAGTTTTGGCTTTCATTATTTCATTTGTTAATAGTGCCATCTACTTACTGCTTAATAAACGAATAATAAATCACTGATAAAATTAAATAATAGAGACTACTGAAAACTTATTCGTTTGGAATCAAAACTTTAAATAGGTATCTAGACCGTTGGCCACTATCGGAATAATTGACCACAATTCCTACGTTTGGCAAAATGATTAAACATAAAATTTTAAATCTATTTGATGGAATATTTCGTGACATCGTTGAATGTCTAATTATTAGGTAGATGTCACCATTCATGCAAAAGCTTTGTGTCAGTTTTCATGAACTTTATTTAAACATAAACGGGAGCCGTGTATCGGGCCGTGAGATTTCATCATGGCACGGGAGCAAAACGTGTACAATTCCCTTTAGAGCAAATTAATATATATAATCAGTCATAAGAAAATTTACGTGCTGACTTATCACGTGTCCGGTGAATGGGTGAATGGGTAGTTTGAGGGAAAACCTATGATGATGATTGAGGAGTTAAAAGATATTGTAATCGAAATTTGAAGTGTCGATTTACTACGTTCTCGAAGGTGAGGAAAACATCGCAAGGAAACCTGCATATACCAGATATGCAGGTTTCCTTACCAGTTGATGTCATTCCGTGCGCAGCAAAAACTTTTTGTCCAAAAATTGTCTACGACCTGTGCCCATTAATGACGATGACGAGATGTAGGCTGCTACTTTTTAACTTTTGGGGGCAATAATGCGTAACTCATCATCGTTATCATTACAGACTATCAAAAGTCCACATAGGCCTCCCCCATAAAATGTCAAATAGACTAGATATTTACTACGACGACATGAGGTGGCAGATTCTCTTTCGCCGCCACAACAAGGCGAACATTTCTATTTTCGTTCATGAGTGTGGTTCTTCTCAATTTCATTGTGAATAGAACTTTATTTGGAATGAACCTAATTTTAGGAATTAGTAAAAATAATATCATCATTTATTTTATGGTGCCAATAAAGATTAAATGAGACCAATAATATGAAACAAATATCGCAAATAAACGTCGTAGCGTAAATTAATAGACGACAATGAAATTCATCATAGTTTTGTTAAAACTAAACTAACTTTAATGACGAAAGAATGTAGTGTTAAATGTAAATAACGCAATTTTTTTTTAATGTAAATAAAACATTGATTCCAAGACAATTTGGCAATTGATAATTACCTTTCTTATGGATACCTACATCGGAAGACACGCCTGATACAAAAAAAATTGCAGGTGATTTTAGACATAAGATAATAATGCAATTATAAAAAACTTATTTATTCACGTGCTCCTATGACATTTTATATCTATGCCAAATATCAATCTTCTACATATGTTCACGTAACTTTATTTCTTGCGGTAACATTTTTACGGTTCATTTTGGTAACATTTTCCCGTGTTAAAAATTTCAGTTCCGTTCAACCGTTATACCTGATATAGAATAAACATTCGAACATTTTCACAAACTTTCACATATTGTATTCGTATTATAGTAGATGGTTCCTACCTGATAGCCTTTGTACTTGATTAACTCTTTCAATCGATCTACAATATACAAATATTTATCTTCATCGTAGTACCCAATGTCACCAGTTTTAAAGAATCCTTCTTCATCGAAATCTTCACTTCTTTCTTTTCCTATATAACCTTTCATAATCATTGTGCCTTTAACACATATTTCTCCATTCTGATTTGGACCTAATGGTTCTCGTGTTTCTACGTCTACAATCTAAAACAAAACACATTCGTAATGATAAGTTGTTGGTACTCATTTTTTGTGATCAACGGAGGTGCCTTAGATGGAAGTTTATCGACCAATTTCGTCGATAAATTTCAATTTAAGGCATTAAAGATTCAAATTAAATGTAGTGTTATAATTTATCACTAGAAAAAACCTCTGTCCTGGGAATAACCAGCACAAAACCCAGCGGTACTTTTATTGAACAAAAAAATAACAGCTTACAATCATATATGGTACACAATGAACAATACAAAACAAATTAGAAATAGCTTGGTAGTGATCATTTCATTCCCAGGGGTTATTATCACCCATAAATTCCTTAGTATTATAATAACTCTTTTTATCCAAACTTTGAATAAAGTTTTTAAAGGTAAAATTTTGTTTATTTTCTGAGATTTTGTTTTAAAAGCGTATACATCGCCCCAAGAATGAATTACTGACATAGTGTAGTCGAGTAACTAGTACTTACTAGCTTGTGTCTGTTCCTAGTATTTACAGAAGGAATATTACTTATTTTTTAAAACTACTTTTATTTTTGTGTACGTACATTAAACTTTCATAAATGTATTGAGACTGAAAATTAACATATTAATTTCCTTAATTGTTTTTTGTCTGGGCGACTCTGTAGTCTTTAAATTATTGATTGCTCTAATGATTCTCTTCTGTAAAACAAATATAAATTCAGTGTCAGTCGCGTATCCCTATAGCGAAATATCATACAACATTATGCTATGGAAATGGCTAAAGTAAAATGGTCTACCTATTTTAACAATGCACATTTTAAAGCATAATATGCTAGATTTGATATATTGGGCCCCGTTTAAGCTACGCGTTGTGACAAAACCCAGCTCCTCCCCATTAAAATCTAGCATAATTTAAAAAATTATAGCATAATTCACTCTGTCTTATTTTAGTAATTGACGTTTTGATGATTTCTTATACAAGTTGTTAGTGTAAACACCGTTATTCCTGAAACCAGTGGTTTGGTTTCACCTATAAAAAGTAAATTCAATGAATTTAAAAAAAACCTATTTTCTTTCATAAAATTTAAAAAGTTTCTGTCTGACACCGTCCGTAAATTCATGGATACCCTATGCGCCCGAGTGACGTAATCACTGAAAAGATCACCGCCCGCGCTAGCTACCTACACATCATTCCAATAAAAACACAATAGGTACACACAACTTTTGATTTAACTTTTCCTTCAGACTTTCATCCTGGCTTAGGACAGGTAAAAATTGAAGGAATTAAGGAAAAATTGAGATTTTACTAAAAAAAATGATGTTATTTTTCATTGAACTTACGTTCTATCAGTGAAACCAAATCACTGGTTTCAAGGATAACGGTGTTTATACTAACACCCTATATTTACGCGAACACTACACATTTAAATAATACTAGTTTTTCCGGTTTTTTCCGCGTATATCAACTTTTTTATATACCCGATGTTTCGAGCATTTTACAGCACCAATGGTCACGGGAGGGACTGAGATATTCAATGTCCAGATATTGTAGTTAACCGCGATTATCAGAGATTAAAACTATTAATTTTTTGTGATCTAGGCAGTACGAACTTATATTATAACTACATAAAAACTGTAAATGGCACTTTTTGTTCCTAACCTCCCCACATTTAAGCAGCTCAACGCCAGCATCAGTATTCGAGTGAACCGAATTTATTTTTATGAAGTTAATTATTTACATTTAAAAAATTTAACATTTGATTAAGAATATTTTTTTGAAGTTTTACTAAGTTTTGGCAAGACAAATAGGTCTAAAATTGGCGGAGTGCAGTGTACTACCAGATTTAAATAAAGGTATTACTTTACTATGTTTTTTTATAGTATTATGGTGACAAACAAGCACACAGTCCACCTGATGGTAAGTGGATGCTGTGGCCACAGACATCTACATTTAACCATAATTAAGAATCAAAATGCAGATGCGTTGTAACCCCTGAGGACTAAGATGAAATGCCTTGATTCCAGTAAAACGGGTATTGTTTTTCATTAAATCAGGAAACCAGATACCAGATTCGATACTAGTATTAAAAAATATTGTATCTATTAAAGACGCAATAACTTTAACGGAAACCCAATTCAATCCAATATTACAATATCTATTGATGATGCTTTTTTAATTTAAATGATTCAGTGACTCAGTGGTTAAGATTGGAATTTTAGTAAAATATTTCTCAAAAACCATTGCAATGTCCTGATCTGAGTTTATTCTTAAACATATTAAATTTAATATCAGTGAACGAAGGTTCCAAGAGATTGATACTAAAGTCTCTAAACGGTTAGATGGATTGATCATAGTAATAGCATACGGCTCGCACCTTTTGACGTTACTCTCTGTCGCGAGAGAATTTTACGGCTGCAAATGAGGTGCTATATGGCCATCTTTCTAAAGTTATAAATCATTTTGTTTTTCCTCTTTTCGCCTCTGACCACACCAACGGACGTATTTGGTAGGGTGATGGATTCTCTTACGCCGTTAAAATACAGTAACTAATGAATAACTAACAATAGAAACAATAATTATTAATATTCGGATATTTTGACTCATTCGCTGAAACAACTTCAGGAATAATTTCGAGGTTCTCGTCAAACGCAGTGGTAATGTAGACCAAAAGATCCTTGACTGTGCCCAGTTCATTACAATATCATGCTTATTCCAAAAATAGTCCTGTCTGTGATGATGGCCTGGTCCCAGTAGAGATCGGCACGGTCATTTTCCAGCACGGCTTCTGGTAAGTACTTGAAATAAGTCAGTTTCTGATCCACGAGACCGTGTTTCAGCGTAGAATCCTGGCTACTAGGTTGGGTGTGTTAGGAAGCGCCTAAAAATCGCTGATGATATACCTAAATGATTTACCAGGATAGCAACAAGCTCGAGAGATGTCGACGATGCCAACTGCATACTTTCTGACTCCGGGCTGTTACTGAGAATTTCTTAACAAGAAAACTCAAATCCTAGTTTTTTGACCTGATCCGGGATTCAAACCCTGGATCTCGTGATCAGCAGTTGCGTTAGCGACCACTAGTCCAACGAGGAAGTCAAGTTGGATAATAAAGAAATATTATCAGTGGAAAATAAAAGGTAGGTTTTAAAAAATATACAGGCCTTCATATCATATTATGTATTACATGCTGATATCCAAACTTTTTATCATATACCGTACATATACACATACCTTAACCACTGTATCACTTTTTACTTTTCCTACACTGCCAACTGTACATTTTTTCCCACCAATGAAGGAATCCATGGTCACGAACGCTGTAGCTTCTGTCATCCCATAGCCTTGATAAACACCTATTAAATTCTTAAACCTGCATTTTAAAACATAATTATTAGCCATGATTCTACTAAAATTAATCCAAAGACATTAAATAAAACTACTTTTACGAATTTTATGGCACTTAATTCACTTAATTTCAATAACCGACGTTCGGGTCCTTTCCAGCAGCAAACTGCGTTATGTTGAACTTGTTGAATGAATTCATTCTGCATAGATCAATATTAGAAAGTCCCTTTTTAGTAAAATGAATAAATAGTAAAATAGCCGTTAGTATTACAAAGACACGATAACCGATGTGGAATAAACATTCTCAAATGGTAGCCTCTTACTGACAAGTGTGCCCTTGGTCGAACCACCTCTAAATGGAGTAACGACCTTATGAAACACGCAAGTAATCGGTGCCTGTAGATGGCTCGAGACGTTATTTCATGCTTTATACAGGTTGTCCCAGGAAACATGTACCAGCGAAGGTCTGTGGTCTGGGGACACCAATAACTATCGATTGGACCCAATGTATGTTTCGCATTTTTTTGAGTTTACGAGAAATGAATATTTTTGTTATATTTTCAGTTTTTTTTTTCAATTATAGACGACTTTAAAAAAATTACTTAACCCTGACTGAATAACTTAATTTTTTTTCAAGTTGAAATCAAATAGAAATATCTCTCAAGCAGAATTTTTAATTTTGTGAGCTAAAACTGAGCTACTAGTAATTAGAATTTTGATGTTTAGTGTTTTTACGGACGAACACACATGCTAGCTATAATACTAACAAAAAAAATCTCTAAGAATTACTTCACAGAAAAAGTTATAGCTAAAACCGTCTAAAATTAAAAAAAAAAAACTGAAAATATAACAAAAAAATTCATATCTCGAAAACTACAAAAAATCGTGGAACATACATGGGGTCCAATCGATAGTTATTAGTGTCCCCAGACCACAAACCTCCGCTGGTACAGGTTTCATATATATATATATATATATATATATATATATATATATATATATATATATATATATATATATATATATCCCACTATATATTTATTTATTTTTTAATTATATGCGAGCAGCTATGCAGGTCTAGGGAAACAGACCAGTATCACTGCGACCTATAAGATCTATTGTGATCGCCGCTTTGGCTAACCGACACATCCTTGAGATGCTTAGTCCCAGGATGGACATGTGCTTTTTAAGACAAAAGTGTCCAGTTAGTTAAGGGCTCTTGCCAGAATGCGCAATTTATTTTTACTTAATCCCAGGGCTTCTGAAGCGAATTTACGATCGAAAGCCTGGATTAAGGTTTTAGAATGTTTTAAGCCTGGTGTGTCAGACCAGATCTTAAGTGATTTATTGTGATACAGAGTTTCAAGGGTCAATCGGGCTAGGCTTCTTGGGATTCCACAAAATGGCTCCGGTCCAAATTGTGTGCACTTTGAGTCCTCCCGTGCAAGTTTGTCGGCAAATTCGTTGCCTACAATACCCTCGTGACTCGGAACCCATCTTAAAACGACCCTGTTGTTACATCCCAGGGCTTTTAAACGGTTCACGCAGTCTCCAACTAGCTTCGAGTTCACTAAGTTTGGCCTCAGCGCTAGCAGTGCTGCTTGACTAGCAGATTTTATGTAAATTATATGGTTGACGTAGTGTTTTTGCAGATTGATTTCCGCACACTAAAGTATGGCGAAAATTTCTGCCTGGAAGATAAAAGTGTATCTACCCAAATTCATACTAAGTTTGAATTTAGGGCGTTTCCCGTGAATTCCAAAGCCTACGTCGAGGCCTATTTTAGACCCATCGGTATACCATAAGAGGCTACCGACCTCACACACAACCTGGCCATTCAGCCAGTCTTCTCTGGAGGGTAATTCCGCTATATACTTTTTATCAAAAGTGTGTAGTGGACGCATGATATCTGAGATCATGCATAAGACCGGTGTTTCCTTAATTGAGTCGAGCATGGATCTCAATCTGTAGGAGAGCAAGCTCAGACCGCCCTGGGCGTTAATCTTATACAAACTAGCCCTCGCCTCCTTGTCTAGATAGAGATCAATGGGCGTTAGGCATAGAAGTGCATTAAGAGCCGCTCCAGGCGATGATCGCATAGCTCCAGTTGCCATTAAGCAGGCAGTCCTTTGTAGACTATCAGTCGTCTTTTGGTTGGCCTTGTTACACCGGACAATATAAGCGTAGGTGAGAATCGACCTACGCAAGCCCCAGTTGTTCCCGACCAAACGACTGCACGCACCAAAAGCAATTTTTCCCCTATGGCATACGTTGCTAAGGTGAGAGTTCATGTTAGTTTTCGGTCGATTGTTACACCCAAGTACTTAACTTCCGTGAAAAATGGTACTTCTTTGCCATTAAGTTTTGGTTGGACTAATTTGTCCAACCGTCTCTTTTTGGTAAAGGCTATTATAACAGTTTTATTAGCATTAACTGATAAACTATTATCCCTACACCAGTTATTTATGGTGTTTAGGACTCTATAATACAATTGACGATAAAGTACTTTGTAAAAAGCCTTTCGCAATGATCACAAGGTCATCAGCATAACCCAGTGTGTCAATGCGTAGGTCTGCCATTTTGTACAATAGTTGGTCAACCGCAAGAATCCAAAGAAGGGGTGACAAAACACCTCCTTGTGGGCAGCCTCTTGTAGATGCAAACTCAATCGAAGTTCGAAACAGCGCTATTTTTGCCTTTCTGTTTGAGAGCATCGACTTCACCCATCTGATGGTTGTGGGGTCAACATTTTTAGATGTCAGGCCCCAATCAGCAGTGATGTGGGGCTACTGTCAGAGGCGCCCTCAATATCCAGAAAGGCACAAAGAGCTATTTCTTTATCCACCAGTGCTTTTTCGACCCTGTCAGTGACACTGGTCAGGGCTGTTTCCGTAGATTTGCCTCTGCGGTTAGCATGCTGGTTGTAATGTATTGGACTCGTAGCTAGAGCTACATCCCTTATATACCTATCTATAACCTTTTTCAATGTCTTAAGGAGATAGGAAGATAGGCTTATAGGCTTATAGTCTAAAGGACTTTGGTAAAGCGTAGTCCTTTCTACCAGCCTTAGGTATAAATAAAACTTTGACAATTGTCCATCGTTCTGGAATATATCCCCAGGCAAAACTTGCTCTGAAGATTTTCACCAGATAGGGAAGAAGGATATCAATACCCATCTGCAGTTGGATGTCATGGGTTGGGTATCATATATAGTGGGATATATATATATTGTGTGTGTGTGCGTGTGTGTGTATATAAGGATCCTAAATGTTTACTGCAGTCATTACCCATAGCTCTTTCGTGTAAAAAGATCGTATGACGATTTGAATTAAACCATCACCGCATTAATGACAAAATTGCTGTTGTATAAATGATCAATTACTTCTCTTTAGCAGCGTTGATAATCCCTTTTCGCAATACAGCGGCTGCGCTTAGAACTATTTGAACTGAACTAACATCGTAATTCAAAGGTGTTTTTGTGAGTGCAAGAATCACCGGTGGTACTAATACTAGATAGTTAGCCTGAAAATTAATTTGTTTTAGTATGTTAATAAAACATCTCACATTATTATTATCAGTAAACAATGCAGATTATAAATTAGTCATCAACAATTTAGTGAGAAAGTAAGGTTAAATATTAGCATAAAATAGCTAATCGCCCAGCAATGTTACCCGAGTCCAAGTTGTAACAACCTTATTGTGAGATCGCATAATAAGGAGATCTCAAGTTATCACGTGAAAACTTTCACATATTTCGAAATGGTAATAATGATGGATTTTAAGATAGACTTGGGCCTTTCAAATAGTGAAAACCGCTCTGACAAGCGTTCTCTTCGCCTACTCCAGAACATTCATCCTTAAGGAAATCTATAGGAATTTAGCAGTTTAGTTGGGGTTTAGCAGTGGAATTTATTGCCGTTACCATTACAGCCTATAAAGAACAGAGGCCTCCCACATAGATGGCCTCATAGGTATGATACTTGCCATTACTACCTCGCTTGGTAAGTGGAGAGAGTGGAAGAGCCGTGGTAGCTCTGATGGTTAGCGCTCGCCATAAATTTCACAGTACGCGAGCAAACCGGGTTCGATCCCCGCCGGCACCAATGAAATTGTTAATTGCAATTTTAAGTGCTGATTTACCACGTGCTCGGCGGTGAAGGAAAACATCGTGAGGAAACCTGCACGTCAGAGAAATAGGAAAAAAATATATTTCGAAGACATGTGAAGTTCGCCAACATGCATTGGGGCAGCGCGGCGGACAATTCCTTGCCCTAAAACCCTCTCAGAAATGAGCGGCGGCCTGTGCCCAGCAGTGGAACGTATATAACTTTACTTTACTTTACTTTACTTTACTTTACTTTGCTTTACTTTACTTTACTTTGCTTTGCTTTACTTTACTTTACTTTACTTTACTTTTACTTTACTTTACTTTACTTTACTTTACTTTACTTTACTTTACTTTACTTTACTTTACTTTACTTTACTTTACTTTACTTTACTTTACTTGGTAAGTGGATTGGTAACCGCATGTTATTTTTATTTTTATTCGTCATTAGGAAGACTCATCTGTCCGAACCTATGAGATGATATGGGAAAGCTGATATTCTTACACCGCCACTAAATGGTAAGCAGTGAATTTTGAATGACAAAATAATGAATAGAGGATAGATGTAGGTAACTCAGCATCCATTACCATCAAGTGAACCGTATCGTGTACATGTTAGTAAATTTTATTTGTATAAAAACAAACATGAAGAATAATAATTGAAGTCGAATAAAATACTTAGTATTTTGTATGACTTAAATTTCCGAAAATTTCCTCATACTAACCTTATGCTTTTCTATAGACTGCAAATATAAATCCATATCGAACTTGGGCAGAAACACCACTTTGCATCCATTATAAATAAAGATGAGTCCAATTATCAGTCCCATGGAGTGATACCACGGGGTAATATTTAAAATCGTCAGTTTTGGATCAATTACACCAGGTCTGCGTAAAAGGAATTTTAATCAAATTAAGTACCTATGTGATTTTTTACTAAGTTTGTGATGATTAGCTCATTTTATTTTATAGCTACAACATCTAAAGGAAATATAATTTATTATTATCAAACAAACACGTAAACAACCACCAAACCTATTTTATATGATGAAAAATTAATAAATAAAAAATTAAGAATGTGATTATCAATTAGAAAATAACTTAGCTATTTGATTTTTTCAGTAGGTAGAATACTGCTTGGTGGTAAAAATACTTATTTTTACGATCTAGTCACAAAGAAAGCCCTGGCACTGAGCATAATTATTTCATAAAATAATTGCATTATAAATTGCAGGAAAAATACAAAGAAAATCTTTTGAAATAATGATAAACTCAGCTAATTGTGAAGCCCAAAAGTAAATCAAAGCATCAATTTTTTAAGTCTTAAATACGAACACAGTTAGCAGGAACATTAATTATAATGAAAGGCGGGTCATTATCAGGCGACTCATTATTTGGTTGATTTCGGTGGCATTTTTTGTTTTTAAAGTTAGGCCTTACTAACATGAAATATCTATTCTAGAGTTAATTTAATATATATAAGTAGAAGAGGGAATCGTATAGACCGAATAGTTAAGAAGGTATTTAATTTTAAAAAAATGGTGTCCACCGAAATCAATATTTTAATCACCGAAATCAAATAAATATAAAATAATTTATATCAAAGATAATTTTCTTAAGGTAAATTTACTGCCTACTTGATAACTTCTATGAACTTATGATCTGTAAAGAATTGCAGGTTAATTCGACAACAAAAAAAATTTATGTTATCAAGACTTATGTGTAACCATTTTTATTAATTTTTGTGAAAACTTACAAAAATCAACGTTAGTAGAAAGCTTTAAATTATTATATTAAATGTCATTAAAGATAGTAGTCTTAAACTAACATTATAGGAACTTAAAAAAATCAGCATTCTTGGTCGAGATCTAGCTTAATCACAGTCAATTTACTTATTGAAAAAAAAATACTACAAAATCACTTAAAAATCAATCCTTTAAACAACATCAACAATTGTAGAAGGCACTTACATAACTAATAGTATTTGTATTTTTAATAAAAATATTACTTTTTCTTTTGATTTTAAGACAATTAAACAAGCTTTAGGTATAATAATCACCCAGCATTAAATTATCAATGTAATAAACTTCTCATAAAACTTTGTATTACAGTTTTCAATCCTTAATTAAAAATGTTATATTCCTCGTCACTACTTTCTTTACAATTTACAATTTTGGAGACTACTTCATTCATTAATGTCGGAGCAATATTTTCACAATCTGTCGAAACACGTGTCCAGAAGCTGTCACTTTCATGTAATCCAATGTCTGAAGGTAAGGTATGGGACAGGCGCTGTTTGGTTTCATAGAACTCATCAGCAAGATCAACAGAATAGCTACAACCAGGTTGAATTAGAATATTCGATAAAATTTGAGGCTTATTAGATTCAGTTGCACTGACTCTACTCCCTTTTTTGGCTTGACTTGACTTTTTAATCAGATTGATCTTGTCACTCTTGTTCCTGTTCGTTCTATCAGTCAACAGTCTATCAGCTTGCTCGCCTACAATAACCTACATGATACCCATGTTCACATGACACAGAATTATTTTTACATTCACCTTCGGCGCAACTCATTTTTCTCATCGATAGTTGGTTGGGCTTATTAGCGTTCCATACTGCTTGATGTACTTTCATAGTCCCTGCAAATTGCTTGAGATTGGATGGAATTAGCAATTCTTTTTCATAAATACCGGAATCGTCAATAGTTTTCGTTATAATACCTTGAACAGATTTCAGATGAGTCATCAATGATGATAAGCTTGTGATATCATTGCCTTGAGCAACTATTCGATCAGCTGTTCTTTTGAGTGTTGCACCGACACCATCTGGGGCTCCTTTTCCATGGCCACTTTCTGTATAATTCCATGTAATACTAGTCAAACTGGGAAAGTACCAATGGAGTTTACTGATGATATAAAACATTTTACGGTTTCGGTACTGAGCCGACGGACTATCAGAAATGAAATGTAGTATACGAATATTTAGATTTACATCTTCTATGAATTTTAAAATCGGAAGTAAATGTTCCCAAATGGCTGGTGCATCATGGCGTAAAGACTCTGATAATGTACACATCGACTGAACTTTCAGAAGTCCATTTTTACGATAGTAAATGACCACGGTGTGCAGGGTTATTTGTTGTCGGTTACCCCCAAAATGAACGGCTTGAATTTCATTACCGTATTTTGTGCTGTAATTTTCACTAAAGTCGCAGTGAATTATACACTCTTCCTCAGTGAGGTCGCTTTAAATTTTTTTAATAAACTTGTTTTGTGCGATCATAACTCCACAGTGAGTCATGTATGAAGGTAACATTTTTTCAAATTTTAAAATGGTGTCCCTGGGGAAAGTAGTCACTTTATCTTTCGTTGTGTGAATGGTTGTTTTTGTAACTCCATTCTTGTAATAAGTTTTTTTACTTTTTTGCCAAATCCAGTAAAATAATACTTCAGTGTTATTGAATTCATTATAGATTAAACTTTTATCTTTGCAGTCATCGCATTTTCTAGTTAAACATGACACATTCGAAGAGTCACAGCACAGTGATGACAAAATATCTTTGTAGATTTTTCTTGAATTAAGTTGTTTTTTTTAAAGCAGTCACCATCAAGTCCATATTTTCATGTTCGATACAAAGACAGGTTTCTCGTTTATTTACATTAGGTTTCAGTATCCAAAACGGTCGTTTTTTGCAAAAACTGGAGTAACTAATTTTATTTTGGGGATTTGTTTGCTTAAACTTAGTATATAAGTCTTTTAAAGAATCATTTAAATAGCGTCTTTGTTGTTTATTCTTTTTTTGGGTAATGAACTCTTTCTTCCCAGAACACATACGACTGTTTTCATCTTCTTCAAGAAAAGTTTTGATGTCCTCTTCCACATTATTTTTAATTGTTTTTATAGTGTCTGATTCACTTTGTTTAATATCTTCAGTATTATTTTTACTTATATGTTCATATTCCCTTAATTTAGCACTTTGATATTTTAATCTATATATCTGTTTTCGCTGTCGTTCGTTGACAGTCTTCAATTGATCAATCTTCTCTTTCTGTAACTGATATATTTTGTTCATGCGGTATTTAAGTCTACGTATGATAACTTTGGTATTCAGTTTCTTGTTAGCTTTTGGAGTTGGAGGAAACTCCTTTTCAATCACACGAACTGATGATCTTGTACATGGCTTTGAAATTTTACTTACGTCACTAGACGGACTCAATGGTGCTGACGAGCCTCGATAAGCCTTAATATGCTGAGGTAAAGGAAATGAAACGACGGATGAACTTGATGGTAGCAAATCAACATAGGAACTTGCTTCAGTTTGAAGCAACTCTGATCGTATTGTTTGTGATTGTGAAGTCACCAAAGGATCGTCAGTTTTGTCGGTTACTTCTGGTACGATTATTAAATCCTCTTCAAGACACCTCATCTCTTTACGCCTTCTTTTCAAATTGTGTTTGTTGGAAGATATTCTACTTCTCTCTCTGAAAATTCGTTGTTGACGAGGATCTAATTCACTTACAGACTTTATCTTTCCTTCATTCTTCCTTTTATAATACCGTTGTCTATCTTTCTATTTGTGCACTGCGTAAAGCTCTGGATCACTCTTAATGCGAGCTTTCCGACGTCGTTCAGACAATCTCTTTTTAGCCAACCGATCTTCTTTTGAATCTGACATAATCTCAATACTGAAACAAGATAAGGGGTGGTAAGAAAGTTAAATTTACGATCATAAAATGTAGATAAATAACGATTGATTGATTTCGGTGATTTCAAAATTAATTTCGGTGCACCTATTTCCACCGAAAACACCGAAATCAATGCCACTGAAATCAAAATAATCAACAAAATCCTAAATGTTTTCAAAAATAAACTGATTTTTTTATATTAACCTCTTTATTTGAAATCTAATATATAAAAGACATAATTTTATTAGAATTTAAAAATATTAATTCAAATAGTTGTGGATAAAATGGATTCACCGAAATCAATTTTAGGGGTATACCAAGCCACCGAAAACGATTACGTACCTCAATAAAAGAGTGACGCGGTAACGCACAGACGCGTTGATCTTACCACCAATGCGGCGCGACTGACAGTTTGTATTACTCGAACAACTATTCTCAAAGTCACTAGAGTATGGGATATATGAACGGATTGGTGCGCGCCACTGATATCAAACATGAACGTTGGACGTGAAGACAACCATATGTAACTTGACTACTAAGGCCTATTGTGCTTTAGTAATATTATAAATGGATTTAATAACTATCTAGTTGTTTGTGAACACATGTCGAATAGTGCCGAATATTGGAGAAAAAAAGATAAAAAATAATTGCCGCCGCAATATGGGGCCGGACGCGGCACCGAGGTCAATATTTTCGAGGTTTTTAATTTTTTTAACTAACTTATATTTAATTTATTCAAAAAAAGAACATATGCCCCTCCTAATGTTTTGATCGTACCTGTTATAGAAAAAAATATCAAGTTGTTAGTAATCCATTTCGTACTGGATTTCGACCCGGACACGCCTTTTTGAGCCGTCTGAGAATGACCGAGGCATTAAATAGTCTGTTAACTGTCGCTTTAACTTACTGCCCCCTGTGGCTGGCGGTTACTTCGGCTCAGTAAAAGCGGCAATGGGCGGGACATATGGCTCGAAAAACCGATTAGAGTTAAGCGATGAGAAAAACATATTTTTTCTAGCGACAACCACATACTGTCAAATGGATTGAAGTGCGGTTCTTACTAAATGGAGGGACGATTTGATGAAATATGCAATGAGTAAACAGATGTGATATGCATCATCATCATCATCACACCCCTTCACAAGTCCACTGATGAACATAGGCCTCCCACAAGTAATGCCACAAAGCACGGTCCTCGACTGGCACATGACTTCCTGCATGTCTTACCAGATCGTCACTCCATCTAGTCGCCCTACACTACGCCTACCGCTACGAGGCTGCCGCTCGAGAACCTTTCTTCCCCATCGGTTATCGGTTCTTCGAGCTATATGGCCGGCCCATTGCCACTTCAACTTACTAATCCGTTGGGCTATGTCGGTCACTCTGGTTTTACTGCGGATATGCTCATTTTTGAGTTTTATCACGAAGAGAAACTCCGAGCAAAGCCCTCTCTATAGCTCGCTGAGCAACATGCTCAGCGAGCTATGGAGAGCGTCCTCATATGGCCAGCAATGAAGGACTACGTCTCAGATCCGTAAGTCATCAGTGACAACACGCACTGTTTCTACAATCTAGTTTTCAGAGTTTGAGGTATATGATATACATGCAGGTATGCAATAAAATCTTTGTAAAAATCTGTCGGTGAAGCCTATAGGCTATAGGATTTTTACATTTTAATAAGTAAGTAGACTTGTGATGAACTGTAATAACGATGATGTTGATGGCAGGAGGTACTTACAAAGAGCTTGCAGAGATTACATTCAAGTGGCTTAGCTCAACACCCTTTGGTAGTCCAGTCGTACCAGATGAATACATGATAAAAGCTGTATCAGACTGCCCCTTCACTTCGACGCCTTGAAACTCTTCGAATTTCACATTATTTGATATTATTGAATTTGGCCCCGCTGTCGCTAGGTCTTTAAAAAGTAAAGCACCATCCAGCCTTTCATCTCCAAATAATATTATATGTTTTATAAAATCCAACGCCTTGAAAATGGTCTCATGTGCTTTATAACCTTGCATTGAACAGATGAGGAACTTTGGTTTCGAAATGTTCATTACGTGTTTCAGTTCATCTGCAAAAAAAGATCACAGTAAGATGTTAAGGTTTGTCTCCATCAGGACTGGCCGCGATGACCAAAATTTGGTCTGGAGTACCAAATGAGATTGCGGCTCACATGATGGTAAGTGACTGGGGCACCCATGAACTACTGAAATACCAGGGAATTGCAGATAAAATTCCATTAAAAGTATACAAAATTAGATACCACCTTCATGAGAGGCCACTGGATCTTTCTGGTCTTACTAAAGTAACCCTTAGCTAAACCAAAGTAATGAAATGGGCTTATGAATTCCCTAGGACGGAACTTAGGGTACAATTTTCAATAGAGACCTTTTTACGAACTAGTAGTAAAAACAAAAAAAAGTACCTTTACTAAATTGATCAATAAGTTTTCGGAATAGGACACATCAAAGAGTTACAGAAATGCATTCTATTTCTTTTGAATTTTCAATTCGTTAGTAGCTAAGGCCAAGTAAAACTAAATAAAAACTGCACCCAATTTTTTCTCAATCTCTCATTTGGCAGGAATTTGATTCTTATTTCAAAATTCTTCAAAATGGAGAAGCTCGAACTACGTGCGGTTATTAAATATTTCTGCCTGAAATTTATTTCTACCATAAAATGTTTTTGAAGAACTGCAGTACACTATGATGAACAATGCTCCGTCTTAGTCTAAAGTGGCGTACTGGTTCGCTGATTGATGATCGCTGAAATTTGAACCGCCTGCAATAGCGACACTCATTCTGGGCAGCCAACTATGGCAGAGAGAAAGTTATATAAAGTTTTCGTTGGGAACAAATTCAGTTTATTTAAACTTATAACTTAAAATTCAAAAAAGTGGCCGCATGCTGGGTTTCTCTAATTGTACCAAACGACCAAAAATAACAAGAGTTGGCATTTTAAAGGTAAATTAAGCATAGATGAAACGCGGGTACACCATTTGGTGTGAAAATGACCGTCTTTTCCGCGAGCCAAGAGATTCCAGGTGTCTGCCTCCACTGGATAAATATCTCCACTGGCCTCTGTCTTCGATAGGGAAGGTATAATAACGATCGACTACTTAAGTGAAGAAGAGACAGTAACCGGAGATTATTACACATCATTAATCGAAAAACTATGCAAAGAACTAAAAAATAAACTTCGAAAAAACTTGTGTGCTGGAGTGCTTTTTCGTCATGATTATGCACCTGTTAATCGACCTAATGTTGCAGGCGCTAGCATCCTAAATGCTAGTTTTCAGTTGATACAACACCCACCATATTCTCAGGACCTTGCTTCAAGTAATTTTCACCTTATTACTCACCTGGAAAAGCAATTGTGTGGTATAAAATTCAACGGCAACGATGAGTGTTGTAGTTCATTTCTTTAATTATTGTAATAATTTAGTATAAATGTGTCATTATAAAGCAGATTAGACATCCAATAAAAGGGTGTTGAACATTTTTCGTCTTTGAATTAAATATCTAATTAAGATTATTTTTCAGACAAAGTTGACCAACTAAAGGTGCTGCCCGCATGAGGGAAAATTAAATTAAGGAAACTATTATTCCAAAAAAAAAAGTTTACCCAATAATCCGAGAATCATCATTGTCTCGTCATGCTAGATTTACATTACATGCGTTCTCAATTATCACAGGAGTCACAAATTGATAGGATCTATCGACTCAACATATCCATGAACCTTTGAGCGGCGAATTGTGTGAACAGCGCGAGCATTGTCTAGATGTACGACGATCAACTCGACGATCAACCCGAGGTTTTGGGCCCAAATGTCCTATGGATAATTAATTTATAATGGCTGGATAAGCAAACACAAACTTACCGAGTTCCGGAGGTTGGGTCAACCACAAGGTACCGTCAGGGGCAAGTAAATAGTAGGTGTGAGTGGTGTAGGAAGGTGTTTAATGTAACCTGACGTCACCAATGTAATCGGCCAGCAGACCTACATGCGTTGCCCTGCTCCACAGGGTGCAATCACTCCAGTGGGCGTTCACCGTTATCCGAACTCAAGTCTAACGTTACTTAGCACCAAACTATAGTTGAAGAAGGAATACGGTCTCAAAGTTTAGCGTTCCAACTGACAAAGCAAAATTCCTTCGTACGATATTAAAATACTACACAAGCCACTCGTCGACGCAAATTAATGGCAATCGAAGTTAAGTTAATCACTCAAACTCAAGGAAAGTCTATTGTCACGTATATGAACGAAATAAGACAACGCAAAGGAGGCAGTCCTAATGCGACCTAACGATTCTAACTAACTTCCCGACCTCTAACCGACACGGCCGTCGCGTACAAGAGATTATTCTAGACTAATGGGCGCAGTCGCATGCCGCAAAACGAATGCCCCCTGCACACCGTCAAACCAATTCCTCGCCCGAGACGAGCGTTCTCGTAAGTTTCAAGTTGTACTTCAGGTTACTGAAATTCATGAAGATATCAGTAATATCCAAGTACAGGCTGATTAATCCTATCAAAGACTTGTAACAAGAGTACAAGAAAATCAATCCAGTAGGTTTGTAAACATAAACAACCATATCTATTTTACGCGGCTTGTTTCATCGTCGATTTCAATGCTGTAGCAGCAGTTGCTTAAGCTGAAAAGGACATGCTACGGTAATAATGGACACGTCAGAGAATAATTTTAAGAACAACAACTTTTATCGGACGAAGTTACATAAAAAAGGTCAAAACAGACCGCACAACTAATAAGCTTAAAACAACTAGCGATTTAATAAATTAATACTCCGAAAAATCAAATCTCCACGCGAATTCGATAATACCATCATGTGCCAAGCTACAGAGCTTGTATGGGTTACCTAAGATATACAAATTAAACGCTCTACTGCGTTCTATAGTTAGCCAGATCGTATCGCCGACTTATAAGTTGGCTCAACGCTTAGCAAAAATACTGTCACCGCTGAGAGGACATACCAGAACACACACAAAACATTAATACCATTTTGTTAGTGAGATAAAACACCCACATATCACTGACGGTGAAATTATGGTCAGTTTTGATGTTCAGTCACTATTGGCATGCCTACCTATTGATAACTGCATCTCAAAAGACTGCTGGAGAAGATTAGTAAATTTTTACCATCCATCAAGTGTAATATTCTTCTTCAAGATGCAGAATTGTAAAAGCTAATTTGTGAATATGGTCTCTCTTACATGGGACAAACAAAAAGATCTATAAAAACCAAAACGCGAACGAAGTCGCGGGGAATAGCTATTTTTTAATAAATGAAGTTCTATAATGCTTTTTTATATTTAGGCGAATGCTAAACATGAACTAAAATTAAATTTACGAATTTTATCGCTTTTTTACTTTTTTTACGTGAGTTTTTTAAGCATCTTTGGGATGCAAGATCCATAAAAACCCAACGCTCCAACCAAAGCCCCGGGACGTCTGTTCAGTATCGTCCCAACCATTATATCAGATCTGATAGAACATATTAATACCTCGCGTACAGAAATCTAAATAATACCTGTAATAATGCCTTGACCTTAGCAAGGCCTTATTATTTACATTTCTATGACCTCGCCAAAGAACTGCGATTTTTTTATATAGAAGAGGGGGCAAACGAGCATGCGGCTCACCTGATGTAAAGTGACTACCGCCGCCCATGATCAACCGCAACACCAGGAGAGTTGCAGGTGCGTTGCCGGCCCTTTAGAAAGGAGTAAGCTCTTTTCTTGAAGGTTCCCAGGTCGTATCGGTCCGGAAAAATCGCCGGTGGTAAACTATTCCACAGAGAGGTCGTACGTGGAAGAAAACTCCTTGTGAAACGTACAGTGGTAGACCGCCAGGTATCCAGATGGTGTGGATGGTTGCAGTATATAATACAGTTGCGGTATCGGGAGGTTTGCCGCGTAGTGTATTCACGAAATTTGGCGGCTGAGATTAATCCGAACAATTCCTTACAGCACTCCACATGGTATATGCGAAAGAAAATGCAAAGAGATGCAACATCTCTCCACAGCGCCAGTGATCAAGCCGATCGGAAAGCTCTCGGTCGTCGAAGATTTGAGCCACTCTGCACTGCGCGATTAGTCAGAACGTAAAATTTCCTATATCAGATTTATTTCCCTCGAGGGAATTGTACATGTTTTGCTCCCGTGCCGTTATGAAATATCGCGGCCTGCTACACATCTCTTGTATTCATTTAAATAAAATTCTATGCTGATAGACAGCCAATATATTCAACTAAAAGGATGGCCGCCGGTCTGGGTATTTAAAATTATGATTCTAAATGAATAAGTATTCAGTAGCCTCAGTTATTTAATTTTATCAGTGACTTATCATTATTTAGCAGTGAGTTGATGGCGCTATTATTAGATGAAATAATGAAAGCCAAAACTATGCTTTCTAGTAATATTAGCGATAGAAGGTGGGGTGCAACTGGGTGGGAAAGCCGCAAACATTTAATTATTATATAAATAAAGCATAAAGTAGCGTTCTGCTTAAAACTCTGTTTGTGTCAAAAATACGCTATCAGCGCCGCTAGCTTAAAATTGGGAATAGACTCCAGAATTATGTTGAGACGTCGTTACATTATTGTTACTGAGTGCCTGGTGAACGCGCAATAGGGATCGTGTCCAAGTTTAAATGGCCTGTACCTTCGTCGCAATCTAATAGAATCAGGCAAGTTAACCGATTCAGTTATTAAAAAAAATGATGATAATACTACTCGCACAAATGTGAATGACAGTTAGGGTTAGTTTTAGTTGCCATAGCGCCAGTGTCAACAACATATCAAGCAACTAAAGGCTTTGGAGATGTAGAACGGAGGATGCTGCAGCAGATCATTAGTAGGGAGTTAAAGATGCACAAACTCCAGAGTGTTACCGTGAATAAAGCCGTGATTGACTCACGTGAGAAAAATTTCGCTTAGCAAAGGGCCAAGATTATATCGCGCTAAGTCGTGTAAAGACACTGGATGTTATATTTCTTCGCGATTTATAACCAAAAAAATTATTTAAGACACCGCATGATGAAATAGCGTTTCG